GTCGTGTGTGTCTTGTCCAATGTGGTGGCCAGTCGTAGGACTTGGTGATGGAGGGTGGTGGGTATGTGATGTAATCTGAGACATTGGTGGTAAAAAGTTTGCTGGTGCTCCAAGGTTGTTTTCATCGTGGGCAGCAAGGTTTGGAGCTGTTGGATTCGGCCTGGTAGGCGTGGGTCTTGGTTGTTGGTGTCGGTTTCTGCCAATTGCAATTGCTTGATTGTATCATGGAGTCGGTTGAGTTGAAGTACCATCAGCCGGTTGATCTATATGTTGGTGTCCCGCAGCTGTGAAATAATCTGAGCGTCCAAGGCCACAAGGGGATCCATCGCGGGGTCTGTACACGAGCGTGAAAAAGCTGAGCTAAGTTGAATGGCTGAGCTGCGACAACGTCAAGGTATAGCCATGGACATCATAAGGCACTGAGGTCAACAACAACAATCAAAATCAGTGAATAGTATAGAATGAATCCTGCGCATGCATTGAAAAGATTGAATTGAGTGCTGAAGTTCTGTACATTGAATTGACAGTGTGGCAAGGGTCGGATGTTTTGATAGCAGTCAGTGTGATAAAGCAGAGAGAAAAAATTGTTTGAACATAATGGGACTCCGAACTTGTTTTTTGGCAGCACGCGCGGAAGAGAAGTATGATGATGTTCATGTGTTGGAGTCTATTGCTCTCAACTGCTGAAATGACAAAGGAGGTAACTGTGCAGAGTTGGAAATAAGTACAAATATGTAAATAGGTGCACACTGTGAATAAGTACAAAGCCATCAATAGTTCTGGGCGTTCTTCGGCACAAAGTAGTCCTGGGACGTAGTAGGGTTGTAGGCGGACCGTGTGACAAAGTGAGCTGCTGTCAATCATGTGCTGATGGATCTCGATGTGAGTCCAAGGTGTTGTTGATCTCTGTCTGTTTGTCTGATGGAGCCGGGGCTTCTGTAGTCATCGTACTGGCGTCGCGTGTGGCCGGGGGTGTTGCCTCGGCTTGGTGAGAGGTTTTATGAGGTGATGTTGCTTCTGCTTCTGGGCTCTCTGGTGGTTGGGGTGTGTAGAGTATCTGCAAAACTTGCCAGCGACCTTTGCAATCAAAAGGCGTTTTGTTGAGTGCTTTGGCAATATATTTCCAACTGGGGCGAGCTCGCTTGTTGAGTTTGAATGCAGCCAATTTCTCGTCATCGCTGGGTTCCCATCCTCCATTGTCAGGATATGGAGGGGAGTCACTGAGAGTTTGTGGTGGTTTAGGTGGAGGTACTGGTGATGGTGGTGGTGGAATTGGCAGTGGCTGTGGAGGTGTGGTTGGTGAGCTGTTGAGAGAAATTGTTGTGACCGGTGGTGTAAGCTGTTGGAAGCCTGTGTTGTTGTGGTGCATCAGTTGTTGTTGAGTCTGTTCGACTTTGTGTTGTGCTGGTGAGTGCTGATGTGGTGAAGTGGGTGTGTAAGAGGGTGAGGGTTCTGGTTTGCATCTCAAGTGAGATTTGCCGGGGGTGGGTGGTGGACTGCGACTGCGTGGTGGTGTAGGTGGTGGCGGCGGCGGTGGTGGAGTGCGTCTGCTTGATCGTTTAGAAGAGATTGGAGTGGAAATAGGTTGGTGGGCAGGTGGTAGCGGTTGTGGTGCAAAAAGTTGCAGGTTTTGGAACGTGGTGGCAATAGATGTGGCTGCTTGAAGGTGAGCTAAAAGATGCTGTGTCCAAAGGAGATGTCACATTCGTGGTACTCTTCGTAGAACCAGTATGGCTCGTTCAGCTGTGTAAGAACGTGCTGAATAGTTTGAATGATTTGTTTGAATAATGCAAAATGGCTGCGGTACGAAGCAAGCATGTGAAAAGAATGACGAAGAGCTCTTGGTACAACACCATATGTCGTGCTGAATCCAGTCAGTGTATGTGAAAAATCTGAACAGCCGGAAAAATCTGAATAGTTTGAAAAGTCGACAGTCGTGATGACTTCGATGTCGTATTGTCTGCGTAAAGTCGTGGGCATGCAGCATCTTGAAAATGAGTGAAGGTTGTCAGCGAGTAGTGAAATAGTGAAACGGTAAAAACAGAAAGCGAGCGGTGTGGGTATTTTGAGGACTTGTCGTCAACCGAAATGTGGGGTGAAAAAGATCCTCCTAGGCTGGAAAGGTTGAATTAAATGAAGCTAAGCGGTGGCTTTGCATCGCTTTTCCAAGCAATCCCTTCAATCCTTGAGTGCTTGGGGTGTGCTACCCAGCATTTTCCTGGGGTATATTTCTTTATCCCTTCACCACGGAGTAGCAGGTCATTCGCGGCGGATTCGCCCCCATGAGTCACTTTCTGGCCATGGCCATAAGCTTTGATCGTCAGGATAAGGCCGCTGCGGTTTTTGGCCATGTTTGAAGCATTGAATAACACACGTGCGGCTTCGGCAACATCATGTGGCTCGTAGTTCGATAATTCGAAAGCTTGGCAAAAGAAACCGACATTGTGGTCGTCGTGCAGAACCGATCTCACAATTTCTCCAGCCTCAAGTATGGATATGATGTTCCCCTCTTCGCTAACATGTGCCGCAAAGATGTGTTTGATCGGTTGTATATTCAAAGCTTCTCTCCTTGTAGGTGGGAGGATTGGGGCATCGCCCCTGCTCGCTAGTGTGGGGATGGCGAGTAGTAGGAATGAATACTGTTCTTCTTTGTTGGTTTCATCGTTCCATTTTTTGTGTGTGGGAAGTTGCATGTCTGTAAAATGGGTGCTGTTGAGATGGGCTGCGCTGAGCACTTTGGCCACGTAGGAAATCATGGGGCATCTACAGCAGCAACCACAGCCCACGCCACCACATTGGTTCCCGTATCCACCACACCATACCCAACACTGCCACCAGCACCACACCATCCAATTCCTCACAGTTATCAATATCCCACGCCACTTCCACCTCAAGCCCATTATATGCAGCCACATCCAGTACACCCACCACATTATACAGTACAACCTACCGTTCTTCTTGACAATACCCAACATCCGCAGCCGCATCCACTTCATACAACACAACCAATACAGTCCCACGCCCACACACCTCCAACACAGCCACCTCAACCACATGCACCACACACTACAAGCCAATCACCACCACCACCACAACCACAACCACCACCTCCCTCAACAGATCTGCCACATACCACCACTCCAGCAGAAACCGCTACACCACAGCCTGCCGACTCGGCTCCACTACACACTCAACCAGCTCCCACAGAACCTGCTTCAGCATCCGTCCTCACAGCCGCTCAGCCTCCACCACCACCCAAAGTGCCACGCACAACCAGACCGACACCATCTATTGCACCCACACTCAGCACTACAAGAGGTATTTGGCGAGACCCTGATCGATCGCCTCCACGTACACCTGAACACCACCGCTACTCAGCCTTTCCTGCCATTCCCACTATTGCACCATCACAAGCTACATCCAGATCCAGGAGCCGCACTCGTTCAGCACGCACTCCACGCTCTCCATTACCACGACGACGAAGTTCAGCTACCCAATCAGTTGCCAGTTCACAACCACATTCCACGCCTGCTGACAGGCACACATCACCACCACCGGCCTTAACCCAAGAAAAAACTCACACTTCTACCAAAGGCATCACCGTTGCCACTACTCAAAAACACACGCCAAACTCAGCCCACCATACCTCTGGCATCATACTCAAACCCAACCCACATTTCACACCCAAACACATCACCAAAAAGGCACCAACACCACCGCCCGCAGCACCACCAACTATTCCAGTCCAACGACGTCCTCACAACCTACCTCCTCCAAAATTCCAACCACCCACTGATCCAGCCCAATTGGATGTCTTCCAATGGATCAACCAGTACGCACAATCGCTTGACGTTCACAATGAATGGCTGCTCGGCAAATCGAATGAAGTCGATGTATGTATGGATGTAGAGGTGTAAATCAAAGCAGTCCTTGAACATGAACCTGAAAAAAGTGATACAATAAAATAATATGACGCTGCAAAGTGGAGGAGTGTGCGACCGACCCTAATTGAACTTCTGAAATTGAAAATTGAAAAATTGAAAGTGGAAAGTTGAAAATGGGAAGGATTCCTGGGTGAAACTGATGCAGTCAAACTCTGCAGTACATTTCAGTGGAAGAATCAGTGAACTCTGCAGTAATCTTCACGTGTGACGGGTGAGACCATCCAAGCAAGCTGATTTCGAGCAGGGAAATTCAGTCGAGTAAAATTTCAGAAAACTTCAGGGAAGCTTGCACCTGCTGTGAGGAGTGAAAAGGTTCTTGCAATAACGGCGCCCCGTAGGGATCACACAGCTTACCACAGTGGGAAGAAGCTGCGGAAACACACTTGAGAAGGTTGCTCCGTAGAGCGCGATTTCAGGCTGCTTCGCGGAGTGCATTAGCCCTTTAGATCTAGATACTGCAGAAAACAGCGTATGAGACGGCGTTGCACTGACTTAGAAACATCAGCGATTGAAAATTAAAATTAGCATTGAAATTGCAGGTACGTGATCCTAGCGCCCCAGGATCATATCAGCCATGGATGCAGCCCTCTTCGTTGGACAACCAACTGCATCCATGGGGTTGTCCCCCTGCTGCTGTACAATGGTCATGAAAGTCCTAAGAAAAGCTAGAAAGAGTTAGAGTAGTGTCCTTGGAAACAGGAGTGGACACACACACACACACACTTGAGCGAGCAATCGAATTGGCAAAGTGCAGCTTCTGTTGTATTGAGATGTGTTGGAAATTGTTTTGCTGGCTGCTTGTTCATTTCCCACTTAAGCGACTGAAACATGAACATAACACACACACACATATATATATACACATACATACAGCCTACACATTTTTTGTATGATCATGGTTGTTCGGGGTTGGTCGACCGAGGATCACTGGAAAATTGCCAGGTTATTTGTCTCGTCAGCCGGCCTTAAGTTCGCTGACGTGCCCAATGGACAGCAATCTCCAAAGTGCCGGCAGCAGGTTGGGGACAGATCTTGGCCTACATGGCATTCTGCGAGGTTTCCCAGGATCAGTCTCCTGGCACGCCTGCTGCGGCTGGAGACTTTGGATTCAAGGTCTTGACTTCATCCGATCCTGCCGAGAAGACGAAGAAGCTAAGTGCAGAGTTGGCAAATGGTCGCTTGGCAATGATGGCGATCATCGGCATGTTCTTTCAGGCAAGGTGTACAAGTTTCCTTCAACTTTACTGAGAACAAGAGAAACATTGAACGTAGTGAACCTGTTCACAATGTTGCAAGTTGACAACGCGATGTGTAGGTACATCAATTCCGATGTGCTTATGGCTCATAATAGACCAAAAACACAATGTTTTGTATGTGTGCTGTTGTGGGTCGTTCCGTTCTTCATTTGCGTATTTGCTTAGGCTTAGACTCTGTCCGTTTCATTTGACATGATCATGCCAGTGTGTTCAAAATTTTATTGGCCAACATGGGTGTGGACATCGGTTGCTCAGTCGACGACTTGCCCTGCAACATGCTTCCCACACAAAGCGCAGGATGGGTTCACTGGCAGTGCGTGGGGTGATTGGGCCAACTACACAGCCTCCCCTTTGCGTGCGGAACCCGCAAGTGCAGCGGCAACGGCTGCCGCTGCAGCCAAAGCGGCCGCAGCAGCCAAGGGAGCTACTGCTGGTGTGGGATCCTTGGCTCAAGGCAAAGGAAGTATTAGTTTCGATCCATCCACCCATGGAACCACTGGGTTCTTTGACCCAGCTGGCTTTTGCAAGAAGGGCGATGAAGCGGGTTTCCGCAACCTGCGAGCCGCCGAGATCAAGCATGGCCGGGCTGCGATGATGGCTGCGCTCGGGGCAGTAGTGCAACACTACGTGAAGTTCCCGGGCTTCGGCGGCTAAGCGTGCAGCCCTTCACGTGGGCGCCGCTGGAAAACCTCGCCTGCACCTTGGGGCCTAGATGGCGTAGAGAGGGATGTGAATACTTGATGAAGGGGTTGAAGGGCTATCTAGTGTTAATGTCTTTTTTGCTTAGTTGGTTTAGAGTGATCTGCGGGGCGAGGGCGAACCCATTCCGGTCCTTCGGGGTCCGGCGTTTCTCCGGGTTTGGGTTTTATTTTCTCGATTTTTGCTTTGCATGGTTTATGGGGAGAACGGGAGCATGCGACTCCTGTCGGTTTCGGTTCAAGGGACGTTGAGCTTCCCCCCGCGGGCGGCTCTTCCCTTGGCGACCGGCAGGGGAATACGGTAACGTGGTTGACCCTAACGTTATCGTGGATGAGCTGTGTAGGCTTCTTTGCGGGCTGGTCTGTTTGGGTCCTACGGTGTCATCCCAGAAGGTTGGCCAGTTTGACGGGTGTTCTGTTGAGAGGTCGAGTCCACCATGGCTAGGAAGAACCGTTGGTGTGGGGGATCAGCGGCTGTTTGTCGGAGCTGCTACTTTATGTCAAGGTCATGAACGTAGGTGTAGAGTATAATGGGTGATGAATGATGGGGTTTCTGGGTAGGGCCACCACGGGTATACCAGCCAGGCGCTAGGTGCCCGGGCTCCCAAGTGGACGCCGAATGACAGCTACATGCTTGTCAACAGGTGGCGGGGGTGGGAAACGTTTGCTTGCTGCCGCTGTCTGTATTGCACGGATGTGATGGAGCATGTTGGGGGCAGATCTTCCATTCTCAATTGTTTTTCGTGGATCCGTTGTCTTTGTGGATTTTGTTGAGTTGTTTAGTGTTATGGTACACCCTAACTGGTTGTGGCAAGGGATGGCCGGTGAGCCATGGGACCAGTTTGAGGCTTGGCGGCAATGGCGTCTTTGCTTTGGGCCACCTACACCGCGCTGATCTTCTCTTCTTCTTCCCGGGCTTTGAGTCAGTGCCAAGTGGCTTGGCTTTCGCTGTCACTGCGCCGGGTAGCTACGGTTTCATCGGTTTGTTCGCCTTGTCTGGCGCACTGGAGCTGGGCCTTTGGACGGAGAGCGACGACAAGGAGCCAGGCAACTTCGGAGACCCAGTGGGATTCAACCAATACACTCAGGAAATGAGGGAAACTGGGCTGCACTTCTTGACCCAGCTTTCATGGTTGTCTCAGCAAATTCATATCATATTGATTCATATTGTCCAACTAAGGAGCGAGAACTCAACAACGGCCGCTTCGCGATGTTTGCGGCTATTGGTATCATTGCAGCCGAGCTGTACACCGGCAAGGATGCTGTCGAGCAGTTCGGGCTGTGAACAGATCCAGAATAGCTGCCGGAGTGCTTTGACACGGCCCGTGAAACGGGTGCCTGTAGGTTGAAACGAATTATAGATAGATAAAACGAGTGATCCATAGTGACCTGTTGTACAACTCTGATTCTTCCAAAGATGCGAGCCGCGATTCTGAGCCAAAGAAGGTGTACAGTCTGTATAGTGACCACTCTGATTGATGTGTTCCTACATCATCCAGGCTTCTAAGATCTTTTAAGCGCATCGTAGCGGAGAAGAGCACAGGGCAGGCAAAATGTCGGAGGTTGAGGTCCGTGTACTTGGAAGCTCACGACCCTGTATGAAGACTCATTCGACTGGTTGCTTGTGTACTCGATATGTTGGGTTTGAGCAGCTATAGGCTATCATATACAGTGTATGTTTCTCAGATGGTGTGGTAGCGAGCAACTCGAGCAACTTAGTAGTGTGAGATTGTTTGAAGTGCATCCACGATCAGCTTTTGTTCTTCACATGTCCATTGTTATACAGTCATCGCTGCCAGGACGTACAGTAGGTACGTATGATATGCACCCATCAATGAATGCAAATCAACTCAAGGTTGCTTCTCTATTCTTAGGGCTGTGTCTGAAGTCTCATTAGAAGTGTGTATGTCAATATGCGCGCCCACAATCACTCATATACTGTGAAGCAGCTGTTGATGAGGGCGCTTTTGATATATTAACATATCGGCCCAAGCCTTTTTAAAGCAACCTGGCTGTGTGAGCAAAAGCTGCTCTCATTTTTGGCCAAGGTCCTTTTTTAAAGGTGCCTTGTGTGCAAGAAGGTTCAATTTGTTGATCGGATGGGTTCAACAGTTAAACACATCGGTATGTTCCTTTTCAGCTTTGTTTGCGGGGCATGCAGCGTGAGCATTTGTTGGTCTTGCCACGCTTTGGCAAATGGAGGGAGAAAACGCGGTAAGTCAGTGGCTTTGTCGTATAGATTAGACGAAGATGCCTTAGACTCGGAGGGCACAGAGGATATGATGAGGATTTGACACACATGCGGGGCCTGCGCCGCTCGAGCGGCGATGTCCTCAGGATGTCCTCTACTTCCCGAAGTGCTGTTGCGGCTGCAGCAGGTGGCTGTGGGCCATGCATGGTCTCTTTTTCTCAGGGTCATGTTCGGAAGTGATAGCGTTCCCGCACCGGGCTCCACAGTTTTGATGTTCCTTTGGGGATTCAATTCAAGAAAAGAATCACACTGGACACTGGTTACCAGTTTATGAGATTGGGAATTTATAGATTTCGACACGTCAACCTCAAGTGCAGCTCTTGCTTTGATCTACAATGTAAGCCAATGATCAATCACCTCCCCCTGGAAGGTGGTATTTGGTGTGGGTGACATTGGGATGACATTTCCATTGATTCGAGGGTCAATCAGGAGGAGAGATCCAACAGATTAAGTTTTTTTATGCAGAGTGAAGCGGAGTAGATGGTTTATAGGGTAGTCGTGTTGGGAGCATGAAATGATCGTTTGCTGGATAGTTCTTCTTCTTCTTCTTCTTCTTCCTCTTCCTCTTCCTCTTCCTCTTCTTCTTCTTCTTCTTCTTCTTCTTATATATATATATATACATATTTAAACTCTATATATATTTAACGATACGTTTCAACAGCAGGATTTTCTGGGAGTGGTTTTGTGACACGGAAGATGATTTGGTTAAGAAGCAGGATGCCGGCATGGATGATGCAGTTGGCGTGAATGAAGAGTTCAGACTCATTGAATGTTCTGCGCATCACATATCCACCTTTTTAGGCCGAGTGTTTTGGGGTAGCCACTAAGAACAGAAAGCTGGGCAAGCAGGTCTTATGAGAGGTGGTTGGTATGGTGGGAAAAGTCGGTCCGATTCAATGGGGGGGGTCCCCCCAAAAGTGGGGTTACATGATTCTCCATGTTCTAACTGCCATGGGTCATTATTTAGGTATATTTAATTTGGACCGCGGGCATCTTTTTCCGAAGATGTCCTGGCCGCCAGGTGCTGCCGCCCTGTTCAGTGGTGCCAGCTTCGTTTCGGCTCCAGCCACCTCGCATCTGAGGGCCTTGAACTCAGCGTGATACGCGTGGCACCTGGTCTATGTCTGTATGATGAAAAAGAGTGCAACGCCCCCACCCCCCTGCAAGAAGCATTCATGGAGCAGGTTTCAAATGTGGCGCCCATGGGGCGATTGGGGTCTCTATACTTCAATACTGACACATGCTGGTCAAACCAACGTGACCCGGAATTTGATGTACTGTCCCTTACAAACAGAGCCTTATGGCATGTATTGCTTTGTGACAAGATGTTGCCTCGCGTCGTATCGTTCGACCCGGCTTTTGGCTCAAGAAACAATCCGCTGCTGCGTTGCTGTGCACTTTTGAAGGTTGATACATTTGTGCATGGTAGTGGAGCTCCTGGTCGAGCTAGTGGCCTGGGGTTCCGGTGTGCTTGATACGTTGGGCTGGTGGATTCGATCTCCCGGTTCTCGCTGGTGGAGTAGCGTCGGCTGTTTCGGCCGGCCGACTCCGGCGAGAGAGACTGCGGAGGTGGAGGATCCTGAGCAAGTGGCGCAGGCTGGTCCGCAAGACTCAGAGAGTGCGGAGGCTGCAAAAGGTTGTTCCATCACATTGGACAACCTTCAAGGAGCGATTGCCCAACGATTGCTGAGGAGATCGACTGCTATCTATCAGCATGGCAACAGGCGGAATGACACAAAAGGGAGCTCGTGCAGGCCGTGCGACAGCTCCAACAGCAGGTCACTGAGGGCCGTCAGCGAGAGACACAGATGAGGACGCAGATCGAAGCATTACGACAGACGCAAGCGCAACAAGCAGCAGCGGCAGCAGGAGGAACACTTCCAGCAGATGTTGGTGCGGCTTTCACAGTCAGAAGGAGCTCATGGACAGTTTGGAGCGCAAGGATGAACGCCGAATGTCACTAGTCGACACGAAAGGCCTTGCAAAGCCAGACAAGTTCACAGGAAAAGAAGAATCGTTCCTATACTGGAGAACACGCCTTGAGGCTTTCATCACTTCAGTGTTTGGTGAATTCGATCGAGTGCCTCCATGGTGCGAAGAGTGCACCCAGACCATCACGGAGACCGACATCGAGAACGCGTGGGGTGAAATCTCTCCAACTCACTCCCACGTGAAGGAGAGTCAGGCGATGAACGCCCAGTTGTGTGAGGGTGAGGCATTTAGCGTCATCCGATCAGCAGGCAAGAACTGTGGGTTAGAAGCATGGAGGCGCTTGGTTCGACGGTACGGTCCAAGACGGACAATGTTGAGACACATCCTCAACCCGCAGAAGTGCCAGAAGTTGGATGACTTGTCCAAAGTTGAAGTCTGGGAGGAACAGCTGCGGATCTATGAGTCGAGAAAGCGAAGCGACGGAACAAGGCATTCGCCCGATGACGAGATCAAGATTTCCATCCTGGAGCACCTATGTCCGACAGAGATTGAACGGCATCTTCAACTGAACAGGTTGAACAGGTCCAGGTGCACCACATACCAAGAGGTCAGAGCTGAGGCGTCGCTGTACCTGGAGACAAGGTTGGGAAGCAGGTTGAAGATTGGGACTGCAGCCCATCCAGATGAGGCGACGCCCATGGACATTGGCGGCTTTGGCAAAGGAAAGAAGGTTAAAGCGGGTAAAGGTAAGAGCAAGGGCAAAGACTCCAAGGGCAAGGGTCAAAAGGCAGGCAGCTCGGCCGTCAACGGCAAGGGTCCCAAGACTGAGGATCGTGAGTGCCACAACTGTGGCAAGGTTGGACACCTGGTGAAAGACTGTTGGCAGGCCGGTGGAGGTCAAGCCAACAAGCCCAAAGGAGGCAAGGCAAAGGAAAGGGCAAGAGCTCGAAGGGTGTCAGCAACCTTGAGGAGGAAGAAGGCTATGGAGAGCCGGAAGAAGAAGTGGCCGAGACAGGATTTTTGTACCTGGCTGGACCTGAGGACCAGAACGATCCAGAGGAGCCCACTGAGGAGATCTACGAAGAGGTGGTGGACGTTGTGCAGAGTGTTGCAACTGTTGTTTCATGATGCGTTGTGGACACTCGGACGACCGCGACAACCGCGTGTGCAATCTCTGCGAGTCCGACTTCGAGGCCTGTCTGAAGAAGACCACATTGGCTGCGACCTGAAGCATTGAAGATGACTAAGCCCGAAGAGTTTCCCTCCATCCTGGACAAGACCATCTGCGTGATGAAGGGTGTGAGCCGTGAGAAGTTCGAGGCCATGTCCAACTTCACGAAGGACAAGATGAGGGACAAGCTGGATCCTGATAAGGCCATTCGAGGAAGGAATGAGGAGATGTTGAAGGAGATCGAGAAGCGTCGCGAGAGCCTCAGAGTTCAGCGTCGCGAGAGCCTCAGAATTCTCTACTTCGAGCGGGTCACTAATTTCTGATGCTGGAGGCAACCAAGCCTCAAACGTCCGGTGAGCCGAGTCAGTCTGCTCGACTGGCCGAGCTTCCATCCCTGCAGACGGAACAGCATCGGGACCTGCAATGCATCGGACGATCAAGCGCCATGGAGATCGCCAACCTGGACACTGGACACTGAGATTCGTGAGAGGCGCAACGGCGCAACGCCATCGAGGAGCCCATAGTGCAGAGTGCAGAACCTTGGTCCAGGAGAGGGAAGGCAGAGAGTCTTGCTTGCGCAGAAGCGAAAAGGCCAGGTAGCCGAAGAGGCATCAGAGCCACATGGCGCGGAAGATGTCATGGAAGACATCCCAGATGCAGGAGAAGAGATGAATAGACACAGCTGGCCCCTCCCGCAGAACGAGTCGACTTCAGTGGCAGAAAGCATCTCCACACGTCCATTGACGCCTATTGGACACAGCTGAATTCCGGAAGATTGTTTTTGCATGAACATCCCAATTGGGCAACGAGTTGGCAAGACCCCAAGATGATCGAGCTACAGTCCGACCCAAGAGTCCACACAGTAAGTGGACCGATGTGTAGATGGGAAATGGTTTCAGAAGATGCCAAAGGCCTTGGATACGTGCGAAAG